GAATGTTGGTATTTCAATGGTTGTCCATGACGTGAATGAGGGTGGACCTTAAGATACGGCCCCCGTGGCGTCTGTACTTCAGAATCACTCTGTGCACCCCTCTGGCATGGTACTACCCAGTGGATGGATTTACTTATGTTTAATCTGTGATCCACCATGGCTTATCACAGGGTCTAGCCTAGAGGAATGAATGAATGAATGACATGATGCAGTGACCTTCACCAGACAGACTTTAGGGACATGAGCCAAGTAGATTTGGTGCCTGTATCAGTGAGGGGAAGTTCAGGGAAGTATATCCAGGGCTCCTTGGAAAGTTGTGGAGATAGACAGAAGCTGTATTTCATTATTACTGTGGTTGGATATTTTTCTGGTTTCTGGGCTACTTATATCTTCTTTCGTGAACTAATTTATTTAGATTCTGTCCAATTATTAGAAACAGTACTTTTTTCCTGGTATTAGTAATAGTTCTTTCTAAACTAAGGTCACTACTTTTCTACCTAACATGTTTGCATAGTTTTTAATTTTGTTTCTATTTTTGACATGACATATACTTTTTATATAAAACTATCAATCTTACAGTATCTTCCACATTATGTTCAGAAAGTCAGTCAGATAATTTACCTATATTTTCTTCTAATTATTTTATGACTTGATTTTTTTTTAAACATTTAATTCTTTGCTCCATCTGGAATTTATTTTGGTACATAGTGTGAACAGAGGAGATAACATAATTCTTTTGCCAAACTGTTAATTAGTTGACCCTGCAAAAATCTTTTTTTCTCATTGATTTTTTAAAATATTGCCTCATACATATGTCAATTTTTATATGTATTAGTATTCTTGCAACATCATTTCGAGTTCTATCTGTCCTCTCTTGGACTGCTACCACATTATTTTCGTTAAGTGTTGTTTGTGATGTTGTTTGTTATTTCATAGGATGAGACTACTGAATTTACTTCCTTTTTAAAAGAGTGCATTGTCTACAATAATCTATTTTTCCAGTTAAACTTAGGTATCATTTTACCAAATTTAAAACAGGTCATTGCGCTTTTGGCCAGAATTGCATGAGGCTTATAAATTAACTTTTCTACAACTT